GGCGGCACGACCTGTTCGCCAGCGGCTTCGGGGCGGGGGCCGGCGTGGAGACCGGCGGGAAGCTGCTCGTCTCGAACCTGGACTTCGGCGTCTCGGATGCGGACATCCAGGTAGGGGGCTCGGGAGCGGCCCCGCCGGCTGCGCGGGGGGCGTTCGCGGGGGGTTTAATTCATCGCGTCGGGGTTGGGTGCGCTGGGAGCCCCGCAGGCCCCGCTCCCCTCCGCGGCCGGGGTGGGGGATGCCCGAGTGAGCGCGCTCGGCGTTGGGGACGGGGTTTGTGCCGCCAGTGCCTGTCCTGCGGCAGGGGCGGGCATCCCGAGGGGGCTGCAGTTGGGAAAAGCTGCCGTGTTCTGCAGAGCGGTAGCTAATCGCGCTGTACGCGACCCTGCTGCAGCGCACGTGTGGGAAAATGCTGCTGTTGGCTTGGTCCGGCTGTGACCGGGGAATTTAGCGTAAGCTGTGTAAACTGTTAAGGTCTGCGTAACAGCAGAAAATCCGTAACCGCGCTGCGCGTACGTCTGCGTGCTCTGTTATTATGGGAGCAGTTTGCGCAGCTTTGTTAAAGTCGCATTCTGTTGAGCGTCGAGGTGTTCCTACAGACGCAGCCACCGGCGTAGCTGGGAAGACTTCCTTGTGAGGGAGAGCACGCTCCCCCGCGCCGCAGCATCTGTGGTACCCGGCGCGTTAAATCTTCTACCCGAGTCACCGGTCGCGGTTGTGTCCCATGTTTCAGCCGTGCCTCGGGCGAGAACCTGACGGATTCTTTCAGTCGGGTGCAGGACGCGATCTGTCTGTGGCTGCGCGGGGCGGGAGGGGTTGAGGCGTGGAGCTCCCACCCGGCTGCGAGGGCACAGTCACGAGTGGGCAGTGACTGGGGCGGAAATAAACATTTGCAAATGCCAGGTGCGTCCCCACCGGGGGCTCTGCTGGCCCCGTCAGGCTGCAAAGCGCTTCGTTATAAATTGGCTTCTGGTCCTCGCGCCCTCACTTCTGTCCTTTCTTCATCTGTTGACTCCTTCCAGTGGCCCCACGCGCTGGTCTGGCTGGGTCTGGGGAATTGGAAGTGAGCTTTTTCAGGTCACCTAGTTACAGGGTAACGCCCTTAAAACCACCTCTTTTCCTCATGTAAGTTCACATTTGGTTTAAATGAGTTTCTTGTTTGTTGCAGTCAGGCCCCAATCTCTAAATTGTGGCTCTGTGAAGTCACCTCAGTTTAACAAGCTCCTGCGCTTTGCGTGGCCATTGAGATTCGCCTTTTCCGCCGCTGGCTTGGGCTGAGGTGTGGACGAACTTCCACCTTGGGGTTATTTAGCAGCAAAGCTGACTTAGTGGCTTTGCACCTATTTGTTACTACCCATCCCATAATGTAGTGCTGCCTCAGATGTGGTGATGGGTTTCTTTGTTTCTATGCTAATCGCATCATAACGTGGTACAGCGCAGCTCGGGCGGTGTATCGGCAGGAACGTGCGGCTGGAAGGAACCTCGAAGGCGCTTTGCTCTCGGAGGAGGTACACAGCATCGCTCCCTGAGCGTTCGCTGCTGCTCGGGAGGAACCCATGTTCTCTGCGGTGCAAAGCGAAGCTGGCTCTGGCAAAGAGGCTGAGCACGGCCTCACCTGCGTTGCACTCTGTTCCAGAAAGCTATCGAGTGCCATGTAACGTTCACCGCTGGTGAATGAGCAGAAGGGAGGCGCTGGCCCGCAGCCCTGCCTGAAGTGCCGCTTGCTTAGGAAGGAGAAGAACACGTCTAGTGCTCCGTCAGGTGCTTGGGCCGTAACTCAGGAGAGCGCTGCGTGGCGGTCAGGCTTGGCAGCAGGTACGGCAGAAGGTGCCCTGTCCCTCTGGGCGCCCGGCAGCTCTGGTGTAGGTGTTGAGCTTTCGGGGCATGGGCTGCAGCTGAAGCTCACGAAGGTGAGGTGTCCTTGTTGCCTTCCTAAATGTAGCACTTCTGAAACAAAACTGGTGGCTCTGTTGCTGCCTCTTCATTTCCATCCTTCGTGACAGCAAATGACAGACTGCAGCAGAGGAATTTCCTAATCTCATTTTTTGGGGTATATTCCTAATGGGCTGTGTTTTTAAATTGCACCCAGTCTAGTACAGATTTAAGGGGCAGAGGAAGTCGAGCACAATGAAACCGCGATCATCTCATGAATCCCTGCGTTCGTACAGATCATTCTTCCTCTATGAAATGGATTAGGGTCTGAATTATTTTTAAAGAGTCACCCCATTGACTCAGCCTCAACAAAAAGACCTGCAGTTTCCCTTGAGTCTGCTTCGCTGGCTGTAAACGTGCACGCTGCAAATAGTGAATATGAAGTCCTGCTTGGTTTTGCCACCTGCGGCAACTTTCTGAAATCCTTCTGACGGGCTCGCGCTCCCCTCTTTCATCGGCGCTTTTTCTGAGTTGTCAATGATGTTTTGAAAAGCGCCTGTGATTGCTGAGAGCGGTTGGGTATGGGGAGCTGCCGGCGCCGTCTCTTGGCTGTGCGGTGTTTGCAGCGCTGATGGGCGTCTGCGCTCTTCTCCTTCTCTTTCTCAGGAACTCTTCGCAGAGTTTGGGACCTTGAAGAAGGCAGCTGTGCACTATGACAGATCTGGCCGCAGTCTAGGGACAGCGGACGTGCATTTCGAAAGGAAGGCAGACGCTCTGAAAGCGATGAAGCAGTACAACGGAGTCCCCTTGGACGGTGAGTCTGCACGGCCTCCTCCATAGTGTGTTTCGCTGGCTGGCCGGAGCAGCCCGCGCGCCCGAGTCCCGCACGCAGGCTCACGGGCTGCTCTTCTTCCAGGACGCCCCATGAACATTCAGCTGGTCACGTCACAGATCGACACACAGAGGAGACCGGCACAGAGGTGAGATGCCGTACGGCCACCGGAGTTGCTGTGCCTGGTCAGTGTGGGGTGGGAACGTGCCTGGCCCCTCTCTGTGTGGGAAGCGTGGATCTGTCTCCCGTTCGGCAAACTTCTGCCTGCCTGTTTGGGTTAACCGGAATGCACTAAAACAGTTGCTTTTTAAAAATCACAGTGTAAACAGAGGTGGCATGACCAGAAACCGTGGTGGTTCAGGATTTGGTGGTGGAGGAGGCAACAGGCGAGGTACTCGTGGCGGGAACAGAGGGAGAGGCAGAGGAGCTGGAAGAACTTCCAAACAGCAGCTCTCCGCAGAAGAACTAGATGCACAGCTGGATGCTTACAATGCCAGGGTAAGTGCTGCTTGGGCGCTGTCCACAGGCTCCCCGCGGCATCTCGGTCTGGGAAACGTGGGCAGCCCGGAGCCGGCAGGAAAGAGACAGCGTTTCCCAGGTCATTGGACTAAAGCGGTCTCCCTCTAAAGCCGAGCAGTGCCTCGGTCCGGTAGTTGGCTTTGCTTCCCAGAACACTTTGTCAGCTGCTGCTGCTGGCCAAGAACCAGCCCCTTTTGCAGCTCCCCAGCTCACTGGGGCCGGCGTAGGGCAGGCTCTTCCGTAGCTGGAACAGCTGTGGTGAACAGGAGCTGCAGAACAAAACCCACAGAGATAAAGGGCTGCAGAAACAGAAAAACAGAAAGAAAAAGTGTGAAATAACTACACGGGATGCTAAGGGAGGAAAGGGCAGTGATGCTGAGGGCGGGTGCGAGCCCTGACGTACGGAGCCACGCGCGTTGTTTGCTGCCGTCAGAACGAGCTCGGACATCTCCGTGCCGCAGCCAGATTAAAATCTCGATAGAGAACCGAGGTCGTGCGTACGCGATGGCAGCAGAGTCAGTGTTGTGGGGGTGGGATAAAATCTGGGCGAGAGCACGGACAGGAAGAAGTGGGATGAGCAGAATTCCAGAAAAAAAACAGCATGGGCAGGGCTGGTGTTTCAGAACAGTCTTTGGGGTCAGGGATGCGTAAATAGCGATATTTTGCAAAGAATATAAAGAATAGAGGCTGGGGCGGGGGGAGCGCAGCGGGGCAGCGCCCAGCCGTGCCTGGCTGTGCTGCGGGGGCTCCGCTGTGCCCGGGCTGCCGGGCGCTCCCG